TCTCCCTTCATCATCCTGGGAGACTTAAATAGACACAATTCACTCTAGGGTAGTAGATATACTGGTGAGAGGGGTTGACCTGTATAGCTTTAGCTCTCAAAACACAACCTTTCTTCAGTACTGGGGAATATACTTATTTCCTTGCCCCAAGTCAGATGTTTACTGTGATAAATCTGTTTATTGTTTTGTCTTCTCTCCACCCTTCTTTATCTTGATAAGTATACAATGACCATTTTATCCTTATTCTGAGGGAGATTGGCCAGAGTCAATGTTATCTAACTCATGTGCTGTGGTGAAAGTTGAAGAAGGCAAGCTAACCTTTCTTCACCACTTACTCCAAGTTTGATACTGCCATCTATTAACAAGTGTACGTAGGCAGTAACTGATCATATTGTCCTTACCATCTGTAAGACCTTAGAACATTTTCCATGGTATCCTTGTTCATGCTGAGCATATGACTGCCATAGACTCAGAAAGAAGCCTGGGATATCATTTGCAGATATCCCATTCGTACCAACCGCCTTTCAGAAGGCTTGTGCCCATGCTTGGTACATCAGAGTAAGAAAGAATGTTGAATTAAATTCACTACCAGTATTTTTTCCACTAGTTCCATGGTCATTTGAGATAAGTGGCTGATCTACTGGGAATTAGAAAAACTCTTGGAGAGTGCTTTTCTCACCACTACAGCATCTACACATGTTCCACAGATTTCTTGGCTGTTAAGATATGAGCAAAATATTCCGACATTAGTTTAGGCCTGATTGTGTTTGTAACTGTAATTAACCATTCAAGTTGGAGCAAATCATGTGCATTAGAAGATGCTACGCCATCTCTCTCATGCCTCTCTCAATGTTCTGATTCTTTTTAACAGAACTTGGCAGAAGAAAGAGTTTCCAGATTTATGACATTAAGCTATTGTTATCCCTTTTTGTAAGTGTGAGGAGGGTTCCGAGATTCATTATATTTACAGACCTATTGTTTTGTCAAGCCATCTGTGTAAAGTTTTCAAGAGATAAGTTGTTATGAAGTGCATGTAAGAATTGGTTATCATCGAGAGAGGTGAGAAAGTGGCTGACTTTTGGTCAATCTCTAATGGGTTAGGGGATTTCAACCCAAAATGGCTAGATAATTATTGGAGGAATTGGCTACCTTCCTTGTTCAGATGCTGCGAAGTTTATGAAACTTCCTACACTTATAAGCATTATAATCCTAATTATGAAAGGTATATGTGAAAGGACAGACAGAAAGGGACCTGTTGGCATAGTTTTGAGAAAAAAATATTAAATACAGATATTTAATAAATGAAAAAAGGAAAGGCAGGGAGATATGAGCAAGAAGGAATAAATCACGAGAGAAGGAAAAAGTAAAATGTTGCTAGTAAGAAGCAAAACCTAAGTACACTCTACTATGCATTTGTTGCATCATCTGAGTACTTCTGACGGGAGGTACCAACTTCTGTTTAATTAACACCTTGGGAGTCATCCTTCTTTTGAAACATTTATGGATGGCTCAAAATCAGGTAATTTTGTTGGGTCTGCACGATTTACTGCAGCCTTTTATTTTCTCCTCTACAGATTCTATGTTCACTGATGAATTGTGTGTAATATCAATTCTTATGGATCATATAAAAACCTAGTAGGACATTATTTGTGCCATTTATTCTGTCTTACTTAGCTCTTTGTAACACCTAAGATAACGTAATATCAGTTCTCACACAGTTTCCTTGTATATTCAGAAATGACTGATCCATTTTTCTTTATCATTAATCATCATCCAGTTTTTCAGTATTTCTGATCCTGTTGGTATTTGAGGGAACAAGCTTGTTGACACCACAGATGGAATGGGTATGATGTACCTGTATTTTTTTTTAGCCGGAACATCATAATGCCAATATTTTTTGAATGAATCTCACCTTACACTGTTATGCAGTAGATTTTGCATTTCAACACTTCTTTATTTAATATTACACCAGAAACAACTAGCAGAGCTTCAACATTTATCCAGGTGTAATCTTATTTCAAGGAAGCGATGTAGTGATGGGCATTGATGTAAATCCATGATAATGAGATAGCCCATCAGCTGTGTTTTTGTGCATTGAGAGGGATATTGGCACAAGGAGAAGAGAGACTTAAAGCATTTCTAACCTATAATATATCTATATGTTATGCTACCCTCTTTTCTGTATTTAATGTATCCATCTCCATTGTACATATTCGAGGTCTGTTTCGTATATTTTAGTATTATTTTAAAGGGTTACTGCTTCGATGTATATATAAATATTAGAAGAGCAGATTCTAACCATTTGCTTATATAAATAAATTATTAATTCCCCATATTTAGCCTGATGTGCCTCCTATAGTATCCATCATAATATGTTTTTCTCGACTGAGCGATGTTGTTGAACTGACCAGCTAAATTCTAAAGCTTGATGAGGTAGTGATATAGCTGGTGTAGTCCAGGAGGATTCTGCTGTCATAGCTGGTACAGCAGTAGTGGTAAAAGGTGTCTCTGAATTTACAAATTAACTTTTCAGATGTTTTATTTTATTATTTGGGTTCTTTTGTACCTTGTTGATTTGGTTGTACTTCATAGATGTTTTTAATTATAATCTATACGTACTTTACAAATATTTTTTATACTTCTTTAGTGCATCTGCACATCTTCGATCTTTTCTTTCGATTTTTATTCTTAATCCTTCTTTAAATCTTATGTCTGTTTCTTCTCTTAAATTCATATCTTATTTTTCGTGGCCTTCCTTTAATTTGTTGTCTTTTTTTCATCTTGGTCTTCTTTTCATTTTTCTGTCTCTTTCTTCTTGAGGGCTGAATTGAGGGAGGAGTAAATAAAATACTGGATGGGTCATTGAAGAAAATGTCTGCAACTGCATCACTAAGACACTAGCGACTTAATTCGTTTCATATAAACTTATTATTTTGTAACTTATCATTAACATATTCTTACAGCTTGTTTTTTCATAAATATTTTCTCATCATTTAACAAAATAAAATTGTTGTCATTACTTTTCATTTATTATAAATAGTAGAATTAGTATATATATATATTATCTTCCTATCGCTTCTATTTGTATATTGCTGAAAGTGTGGTTAATAAATAGTATTGAATTGTGCTTGACTTATTTATACAATTCAGTTCTGACAGCCCCACCTATATAATTTACATGAGGATTCAAGTTCTTAATCCGGTCCTGGTCATTTTTTATTTCTCAATCTCTTTTTTCTTGGTTTTCCTTTAATTTCTCTGTTTCTTTCTTCTACTTTTCTATTTCGTTCTTCTTTATCTTCTTTTAATGCTCTATCTCTTTTTGTTTGTCTTTCTTTTCACTTGCTCATCATCTCTTGCAAGTACTCGATGTCATTTTGAGTAGGTGTCATCATTTTGATATTCAGTCTAGATTCTATTTTATTTTCACCAAAATAATCCCACTTCTGATTTTAGCGTGGTATAATATTTTGTCACAGAGCAAATTCTTTTTGATTATTTAGTAAAATTAATGTAAAGTCTAGTCAGCTATATATAAAACATTTTGCCTCTTTAACTGAAAATTTTACAACTTGCATGATTTCACAAACTAAAGATAACCAAACAACAGACTTAAGTCAGAAATAAAAGTATACTATGCTGTCGCTTCCTTTCCGTAATCATGTATCCTTTCCATAGAACACCTGAAGAAAATTCGAGGACCAGAGATTAAGAGTACTGGTCTAAATTAAAATATTAAAAACATAGTCTATAACCTGTGTAGGCAGCCCATTAGCCATGTGTGGCCATTTCGCAAAAATGTGTAGCCAACTCGTAAAATCATCGATAGTGCGTTTTTTAGCTGGTTAGTGAAAAATAATGCCAAATGTTTCATTGAAATTTCACAATTTTGTACTTTTGTAAAAGTATTTTTTTGTACTTTTGCGTTTTGTTTATAATTGACCTCATTAGAATCCTGAAATAAATTTATTTAGCGAAAATGTTCTGTTTTATTAATAGTGTGGCCATTTCTGTGATAGACTGGCCATATCCATGGCCAGGAAAAAATTTGGTTGCTCACCCATGGTCTATAACAATATGTATATATATTCCACCATCTCATAGTTTATATGTTTCAATTTGTATGAAAGTTCAGAACCAGGTAAATTTAGCCCTTTTTCTTAGGATAGTTGTATTATATCCGGCTTTATTACTCCGAGTGTGAGTAGTCGGCTGTAAAGAGGGTTTAGATTGTAAAAGCATGGTTCTTGTGCTTTCAAGGAATTTTGTTCTAGCTTTCAAATAGCCAAGACTCGCTTGTGACGTTCTGTGTGAGTTTCTTTATTTACCCATTCATGAGATACATTCAATTGTATTTTTCTTTACTTTTTGTTCAATTATCCCATTCACGCTCAATTCTAAGTCAAACTCAACTTTATTTTCTTGCTAAACACAATTTCATATTTCAGTTATTTTCATCCTGTCTTACATTTTTATCTATCTTAATTGAAACCGACCGCAATTGTTTTTAGTTTATCTTTAACTGTTCATTATCAATAAAATATTTGTTTGTGCTTTACACACAGATTTGTATATTTTCTTTAATCTTCATTTAAATTGCAACAAATTAGTGTGATTACTCATGATTATTTTTAAATTGTATCATAGTTTTGTTCACGCGAGAACGAAATATCTGACTGTATGATGTATATCAAAGCTTTTGTTTAAAACAATAGTCGTCAGTATGCAAGTAGCGAAAAAATATAGCAAAACTACTTTTTTATGTCTGAAATGTGTAATTTAAGATATTATAGTTGTCATTTATATATATAGAAAATCAGAGCAACAATAATGATTACTTGACCGTATCTCCCAGTTTCAGCAACAGGTACCAACGTACACTAGTTATTGATAATAGCTACTGATATTGTTCACCTGTTTGATGCCACAGGAAAAAGTTTTTCGATTGCAAATGCCCTTCACCTTTGAAAGTCACGCTATGTAGAATAATCACTTTATATATATATGTCAACCAACAGAAAATTGCTTGAAACATCTTTTTGTTGGTGTGGGATCGGTACCTTAATTTGAAAAATTCCGTCTAAAATGGCTATTTGGAGAATAGTGCAAATATTGGTGTTCATAACTGTAGCTAAAGGAATACCAGTAAGTTGTGTTTAAAAATATAACTATAAAACCGAACATCAGAAAATTGTTTGAAACACCATATTTTTAATTGTGGGATCGGGACATTAATTTGAAAAATACCGTCCAAAATAGCTATTTGGAGAATAGTACCAATATTGGTGTTTATAGCTGTAGCTATAGGAATACCAATAAATTGTGTTTAAAAATATAACTATAAAATCGAACACCATTTAAATTTTATAAATCGCATTTGTTAATTTTTGTACTTTCTTATTATTACCTGGTATTTTTATTTTCGGACAGGTTCCTGAGGACGAAAACATACAAGGTAAGTTTAAAATTCGAAAGGAACATGTTTTGAAACTAATATATTTACAAGTTGTTTCTTATAACTTTGAAAATATGTTTATATAAGGGTTAACTTTGTAGTTAAACACAAAGCAACACAAATGGGCTAGCTGTTCAGGGCCCACCACGAGTATCGAAATAAGACTTTTTAATAGGAGCGAAGGGTTAACACAATATTTTTAAAAGATTCTCATATAGATACAAAAAATGTTTTCATTATTACATTATCTAAAGAAAGTAAACCAATAAATAATT